TTTGATGAAAAATACAGACTGTGGAATGTTTTGTAACAGAAATATTCTATAAACTGAATTTCCGAAAGTAAAATGTTAAAAACAGTAGATTACTGGCAACCACAGCTACCGGTATTTTACCTTAAAATTAAGAAAGAAAAAAAACTGCTAAACACTGTTAAACATTTTTTGTGTCACCATTTTGGAGGATAGTGTGTGCAAGTCCAAGATAAAGAGTATCTGATGTTATGCTGCATCTGCTTATGGTTAAAGGTAACTGTGTAGTTAATAATGCAGTATAAATATGTTTGCTAATTTTAAACACACGTTAATGCATTTAATTACTACATTTTGTGCACTAAGCTACGTTTTTGTGAACTGAACATTGCATCAGTTGATGAAATATGGTTAATTTCTGTAAATTTTAACAGTTCTATATTTTTGTTCTGTAAAACTTCTGTATTTTTTACAGGAAAAATCCTGGCAATCACAGCTGCCAGTATTATTCTGTAAATTTAACAGATTTATTTATTTTTTTTACAGTATGCAAGGTAGTGATGGGAAGTTCGGATCATTTTACTGACTCGGATCTTTAAGTCTCGTTCATCAAGATGAACAAATCTTTTTTCGAGTCATTTCGTTCAATTTTCCAAAATATTATTAAAATTACGAATTGCTTTCAAACACTGCTACAACTAGCCCAAAAGGTTGAATGCAAGACAAATAAGTCATAAATACGATATTATAAGAAGGAGAAAATAATATTTCAATGTTTACCTGCTCTTTTTTCAATGAAGGCAAGTTTTGTCTCTTTGCTCAGCTCACCTCTTCATGTCTTCTAATGTCAGGGGTTCGTTCACGTTACACTGGCAGTCACATATAATCTTAACCAATGTACACAGTCTGAGCCGATAGGAGCCATGATAATTAGTTCACCTTTCAAGTTTTGAGTCATTCGTTACTTACGTGACAAAATGAAGGGGACTCGAGAGATGAACAGATCAAATCTTTATCTGGCTCTAAACGCATATGATTGGCTTCTGCCTTTCCGCGATGAACAACTCGAAATGTGATGAAGAGTTGTAATTAATTATACCATCTGCACAAATTGGCGCAGTCGCGGATAAACGAATTACTCCCTAAGAGGACTCGTAGTTCCCGAGTCATATTGAAGATTCATTAAAAAATAGAGAGAAAAAAATCTGATGCTGCACAAGAACTGACAATGCATTAAAGCCAGTGTTGTTGCTAATCTTTCACGCCCAACACTTTGATTAAAGGTTAAATAAATCCAGGCAAAGAAAGAGTTAAAATCCTGTAAATTTCTAAAAACTCTTCATTAGTTCAGGACTGATGTCGATTAACAGATTTACACAAAAAAATAATAAATACATTTCTGATGCATTTTTACAGCAGTTTAATTTAGTGAATGTTTTCATCTCCAACACAATGAAAGGGTAGTAAGTTTGCCCAGAGTAGAGGTCTGCATTCCTAAGGCTGTATTGCGGGAGCCGTGGGACCCGACCAGGTAACTGGAGTTACTTGAACAGGAGTGGGCGGTCTAACAATTTTGCTCCCGACTCCCGAGCAAGCATGCGTATGTATGTGTGTGAATGAGAGAGCGTGATGCTGTCAGGGTTCTGCCACTCTAGTCTTGTAAATTCTTGTTTTGGTGGCAGAGCTCGGACACTAGTTCTGTCTTGTCCAGTTTCTGTCATTGTGTGTCTCTGTGAGTGCGCACGCCGTCGTGGGTGTACGCAGAGTGTGCGCTCCCGCATGATGCGGCCGCGCGGGCTCTGCGTGCCTCGGACGCTCTCGCTCTTGTACTCGTGTTAGTGTTCGTCTGTCTGCAGCGTGGTGTTTCATTCCCAGCGTCTCAGTCTAGTTGGTTTCGGTTTTGGTCGGCACTGGGATGAAACATGCATGCTGCGTGTGCAAGTGCACGGTGAGTGTTTTCATTCGTGTACTCCTTTCTTGCGTTCAGTCTTCTGTTGGTGTTGTGTTTAGCAAGTGGTGTGTGTTTACATGAATCGCGTGCTTGTGTTGTTATGAACACACGGTTAATGAGTTACCTCATTGGGTGCGTGTTCTAGTCTTGTTTTAAGTGAGCGCATGGCGTGTGTCGTCTCTTTGTGTCATGTGCTCTCCCGTCTATTGTCTAGTCCCACCCTCCTTGTTAACCTATTATTAGTTAATTATGTTCATCTGTTTGATTGTTAATTTCCTACAGTTTATAAACCCCTCATGTCTGCTGTCCTGTGCCAGTTCGTCATCACATGTCGTCATTTGAAATCTTGTCCTGTCGTGTTTCCAGTCCTGATCCTTGCCAGCCTGCCCAGTCCAGTTTGTTTGTGTATGTATTTGTTTTGTTAATGTTTTCCCCCTCGGGGTAGTTTATTTTGCATTTTATTTTTATTATTTAATAAATTCCCGTTTCCCTGCATTTGAGTCCTTGCTCCTTTTTCCCCATTTCCCCTCACCAACCCCGACAGATGCTGTGTTTAGCTCGTTTGTGGCTGTTTGTGTGTCTGAATGAGAGAGAGAGCTGTGCTGTCCATGTGTGTGTATGTGTGTGAATGAGAGAGAATGTGATGCTGTCTGTGTGTCACTTGGTTGCTTTGCTGGTTGCGCAGCGGAACAACAAATGCTGGATATAAGCGGGAGTGGGATTAAAAATCTAGTCCCGCACAGATCACTAGTCCAGAGTGTATTGTTGAGTTTTTCTTTATTTTAAAGCAATTTTTTTAAATTTATGTCAAAATAAGAATTTTCATTAAATGGCCAAAGTAAAACTCAAAATCACCCTAGAGTAGATGAAAACAACCGAACAGTGTTAAACTCTAAGACTATCTAGAATCTAGAAATATACACCAGATTATTCGCTATTTGTCTTGATGTAACACAGTTAAAATAATGTTTAATTGTCCTTCACCAAAAAGTGTTATTTTGTTTATTTTGTGGTTTTTAGGAGACCTCTTGTGGCAACAGTGTGTGGTTCTTTCACCTTTCACCTGCAAAGCTAAAATAGTTGCTGAATACAGAGTGGGGGTAGGGGTCCGTGTACGTTTTGTTCATTTGTTTTCCATTTTCAAACAGAATAAAGGAAATGGAGAAAATGGCCGTTTTCCCGTTTTATTTTGCTCACGAGAAAACAAGATTTTGGCTGGATTTTCGTTTTTTTGGTTTAGGGTAGGAAAACGGATAAACGACTTTAAAATTAATTTTACACATGTAGGCGTGCTGAAACGCCCACTTTCACGTTCGCCCTCAAAATAAAAGCCTTACACGCAGGCTTTTATTTATTATTGATTAGCCTATATATAAACTTTTTTACATATTCTATCATTTGAACCACACACAGTTAGCAGGCTTACATTCATTGCGTATGTATAAATTAAATAAAAACGTAAATTAGCAGTATTCTTAGACGTTTGTCATTAAAATCATAGTTCACTGCCAAGCTTCTTGCTGCTGTGCACCTGATGCTGAGCAAAGATAGCCATTTTCGAGCAGCACCTGGTTTACATGATGGTTTCAGGGCTATTGTAGGCCTAAATAATACTCTGTATAAAATAATAATTAATTATTATTATTTTTATTATTATTATCATTATTAATATTATTATTTACTTTGTTATTAACTTAAATGATTTAACTTAAACTTTAAACTTCAAATTAATAGAATATGTCAAATTAAAAAAAGTGTTTATTAAATGTAGGTCAGGTGTTTATTTTAATAATAATTATTAAATTATTAAATATTATGACATTATAATTCAGTGTTTTGGAGAGTATGCAGGTAACCCATGATAACACTCTTTAAGATCACCAAAGTAGGTCTGTCTTACTTTTTTGTTATCTGTTGCTGTTATTATTGTGGCATTTTTATATATATATGCATGCCTTGCCATGGAAGGCTGCGGAATATTTTAAATAAGTGGTTTATCCTAAATAAAATACAATAGGATCGGTGGATGTGCAATGAATAGTTTGAAAACCCCTGATTCATACTAACAGACGAGCTAGCTGTCTGTGCTGCGCTAATAACTTGACATTTGTTCTTTTTGGTGCTGCCAGATGCATTTACTGCATAAAAAAAAAAAAAAAAGGTAATTCGGTAAAGTGCGCGATGCGTGCAGAAATAAGCGCACTATATGCCTATGCTAGCTTAGTCCTTATAAACGACCAGTTTATAAAATACACAATTTACGGATCAAGCCTAATGAAGAATAAGAAGAATATGCAACGCATTATGATCCTTGAATGATAAAAGCACATTTATATAAACTATATATTTTATATAATCCATAAATATTAAAAAACATTATACATTTAAAATTTGTATAATCGTTTTCCTACCCTAAACCAAAAAACGAAAATCCAGCCAAAATCTCGTTTTTTCGTTTTCTCGTGAGCAAAAGAAAAACGGAAAAACGGCCGTTTTCTCCATTTTCTTTATTCCGTTTGAAAATGGAAAACAAATGAACAAAACGTACACGGACCGGTAGGTAAAATGTGCTCCAGCGAAATGTTACAAATTGAGTATTGTAACACTTGTTAATAACACATACAAGCCCCAAATGAACATTAAGTGATGTTTTGTATCAAATCTATCCTGATTGCCGTTTGTGACCTACTTTGTGTGGTTTAAATTGCTCATGCTATGTGTAGCTGAAAAGACAACATTAATATGAGCAGGGGTGAATTATTTCTTTTTGTTTGGGTTTTTAGATGCATGTTTAAATGCATACTGTTGCCAGAGGATATATATTTCTGTTACAGGTATGTTGAACTTTTGTATATAAATAATGTTTTGTTAAAATGACTTTGTGGCTACACAGAAATGGTTGCTGAATGCAGAGAGGTGATGCAAGTTTAAATTAATACTGTTGACAGAGGATATCTAGTTCTGTTACAGAATAAACAGTTCTTTGTGTACGTGATTTGAGTGTCATCGGGAAGAGAAGCGTTACATCTACGCAGAAATCACTAAAACAAAAACATGTATATGTTCCACATACTTGAGTTTGTCCAGTGTGTAGTTTGGATCCTCCAGTTGTTCAGAGAGCAGCTTGACTCCTGAATCTCCTGGATGATTGTAGCTCAGATCCAGCTCTCTCAGGTGTGAGGGGTTTGAAGTCAGAGCTGAAGACAGAAAACCACAGCCTTCCTCTGTCACCATACAGCCAGACAATCTACAAACACACACACAAACAGTCCACGTCACATTAGTCTGCCAGACGTCACTAACACACAGTCATCTGTGCAGAAGCTGATATTTGCTCTAGTTTCAGTCACAAAAGCAAAAGTGGAAACACTTTATTTGAAGGGGTGTTCATAAGACTGTCATAACACTTTTATAATCATGTTGAGATATGTCATGAATATGGATGAGATGTTATGAATGCTTAAGACTATTGTCATTAAGTGTCATTACCTCAGTTATGTCATTATACATGCAGAGATGTCATTGTTTGAGATGTCTGTGTTGTGTAACTTGACATTGCCAAGCCAACTTCATAAATCTGTCATAAACATGATTGTCATGAGGCCATTAGAATTGTGTCATTAACTTTTTTATGATCATTTCTTTTAAAGGAACAAACTGAATTTGTCATTAAAATGTCACATTAAAATTGTAAGTATGCTGTCAAATAAATCTATAACAGCATCATGAATGTTTAATGACATTAATTAAATTATAGTCACGCTGTTATACAATTCATGACACAATTATAATGTCCACTAGACAATCATGTTTATGGTGGATTCCTGAAGTTATGAAGTTAATTTGTTTGGTAATGTTAAAAAGGCACAGCTGGTGCCAATGACAATCAGTCATGTATATAAGATGCGGCTAGTGCAATGCTCGGCATCCTTTTCGCTTTCAGAGCCTTTCACTAGCTTCTGAGAGAGTCTTCGAGGGTTCTCCTACCTGTGTCTACAGAGAGAGATCGAGAAGCAGCTTCTCCCGGTTCAGAGCGCGTATACGCAGTGGCAGACGGTCGAGCTGGGTTTTTCTCCTTTGCCTGGCGTTCTTTGGGTACGGTCCTCCAAGAGCGGTTTGTATATAGGGAAAAAGTTTTCCTAAAAGAGCAACACGGTTTTGCAGCGCGTCTTTTCCTGGTGATGGTTTATCCCCCAGCTCCGCGACCGGAGCGACTAGATGGGTGTTATGTGGAGGGTTCAAGCCTTCCGTCCCCTTCTTCCCGTATATGCACAGTAAGCTCATGCAGTTTTGAGGGCAATTTTTCTGCCCGATCTGCGTGCGCTTCCATCCTCACCATCCTTGGAGGGTGGGCTGTCAATGTCTCCTTCCTCTGAGTTGATGAGTGCGGTGTCGGATCTAGAAGCAGACTTCCCCAGGCTGCTTCGGCCGTGGCTCTGGTGATGGTTTATCCCCCAGCCCCATGGCCGGACCGACTAGAGGGGTGTAAAAACCTTTCTTCCTGGATGCACACAGTAGGCTTACGCAGTGTGCTGCATGCGGGCGGGTTCACTTGCGGGGGCTCTGCATGCCTGGTTAGCGTGAGCCAGCCCGTCGCAATGGCTCATCCGTACGATCAGACTCGGTTATGTGATACAGTTCGCGAAACGGCTTCCCAAGTTCACGGGCGTGTATTTCAGCAGGCTCAGTCCTGCGTCCACCCCTGTCTTGCAAGTGGAGATTGCTGTCCTCTTGGCGAAGGATGCAATCGAGCCGACCCCTCCAGCTGAGATGGAGAGTGGGTTTTACAGCCCGTACTTCATCATGCCCAAAAAGAGCGATGAGTTACGGCCAGTCCTAGATCTGCGCGTTTTGAACCGCTGCCGGCACATCAACCAATGCATTCGTCCTCGGGATTGGTTTGCAGCAATAGATCTGACGGACGCGTATCTGCATGTCTCCATACTTCCACGCCACCAGCAGTTTCTGCGGTTTGTGTTTGAAGATCGAGCATGACTGTACAAGGTCCTCCCCTTCAGGCTCTCTGTCTCCGCAGGGTTTTCAGCAAGCTCGCGGAGGTCCGCATGCTCAATTCTCTCGACATTTGTCTGATTTTAGCCCACTCTCGGGGACAATTGACTACGCACAGAGACTAGATGCTCCGGCACCTCCACCTGTTGGTGTTTAAGAACAACCAAGAAAAGAGCTGGCTTGCCCTCGTGCAGAGCCCCTCCTTTCTCGGGTTGGAGCTGGACTCGATCACCATAAAGGGGTGCCTCTCACGAGAGCACGCCGAGCCAGTGCTGGACTGTCTGAGAGAGTTCAACAGAAAAATGTGGTCCCCCTGAAATCTTTTCAGAGACTCCTGGGGCATATGGCATCCGTGGCCGCGACCTCACCGCTCGGATTGCTCCATATGAGACCACCATGGCATTGGCTTCACGATCGGGTGCCCAGGCGCACATGGCATGCGGGCACACACCGAGTGACTCCACTCCGCCGTGTCACCGTGCCCCCAGCCCCTAGAGGGACCTCTTCCAACGGGCCCCTGGGTTAGGCGTCCAGGTATGTTGTCGTTTCGACAGATGCTTCCAGTATGGGTTGGGGGGTCGTGTGTTGCGGGCATGCTGCATTGGCATATCAACTGCCTAGAGCTGTTGACAGTGTTTCTCACTTTGCGTCGCTTTTTACTGGCACTAAGGGGGCAACAAGTGCTGGTCAGGACCAATGACTGTAAAAAATATGGACGACGTGACAGCCCCTTTTCCCATTGAACGCCTAGAGGGCAAAACGCTCGCTTGACGAGCACAAACTGTCGCAAAAGACTGCTAAAATTGGAGCCTGGACATGCGCAGAAGGACTGTCTGATGGAGCCAGAGGAGGAACCGCAAAAATGAGCGGAATCGAGCTTCCAACCAAACGATTTATGTAAAATCGACCATGCCCCCCGAACCTCTCACTTGACCTCCTGATCTGCACTATAAAAAAGGCTTGCTGATGTAAATAGAAGCACTTACATTTAAAAACACAGAATAATATACGGTTTAAAAACGGTGCGATTTAAGCTGCTATACTTTAATAAAAGCAAAACATGCTGGACTGCAGAAATAAACGATCTTTTCTACACTATAGCCTGAATATGAGCACAAATAATATATTCTCTTATTGTTATATTTGTGGTTGGTATTTGTTATCTTCATAGGGGTAGAAATAACACTTGTAAAATATGAACAATAACATATAAACAACATGTACATTTTTAGAAAGGTTTTTATTTTTAATTAGCCATCAACAGAATCCAAAATATAGCCTACGCACCATAACGATTTACCATGCGGGAACAATCGTGCGTTTAGAAGATAAATACAGCAAGATTTTTTAAATATCAACAGGGCCCGGTTTTTTAAAAGTAATCCACTAGGATTTTGGATAAGGGATTGGATCAAATCTTGAAAATGGGTTTTTCAAAAGAAAAAACGGATTACTTAATCGGATTAGATCACGTAATCCAATCTTGGTTTTGATCCAGATCAAACCTTTACTTTGGGTTTTGCAGACCTTTTTTGTAGGATTTGGATCACTTTGACAAAGTTAAAGCTATAAAGTTAGACAAAGTTGCATATTTGTAAAATAAATAAAATAAAAGAAGCGCTTTCTCTCATGCCTCCATGAAAAAGCGTGTCAGCTGGCTACTTCACGAAAAGAAATGCATGCAGCGCCGGCAATCTTAATATTTTCCACCACTAACTGAAATTAATGCTGCACTGTTTTATTAACAAATTATTAAAATGTTCTGTTTTTCCCCAAACACACTCTCTTAATCATTAGCCTGTGCTAGATTTTTGCGCGCGCTTGAGCGTGGGGATAAGCACATCTCTCTCTCTCTCTCTAAAATAAGAAAATTGATTTGAAAATTGAAAATGATCTTATAAATATTGTTATAGCAATGTGACTACTTTGGTAAATAACACTCGTCGTTGACGTCACAGGATGACTGATCGTGAAGGAACATGTAGTCTGTCACATTTGCTACCCACGGCAAGTCACGATTTTATCAAGAAAAAATCGCGTAATCTGACATAGTGACTTTTCTAACCGACAAAAAAAATCATGTAATCTGACCGGGGCTTTAGTAACCGTACTAAGGACCTTGGACAGTTACTGAGTCCGAAACTGTTGTATTCGTTTTTTTCATATTCGTCATTAGGGGGCTCACAATTGTCAAGAACACCCCTCAAAATATTTGTTACAGATGTGAAAAATGCAAAAAATCAAAACATCAAACTTAATTTTTATGACGGACGAAAGTTACAGAGGCTGCAAACTAATAAAACGTGAGGTCATATTTAGTATATATATATACTAATATGGGGGTGGAATTGCAGGTCAAAGCTGTTTTAAAATGCCAAAACAAACTTACAATTCAACATTTACAGATTTCATTCAAAATGATGACTTTTCAGTTCATAGTTTGATTATTTGAAGTGAGTGCACAAAACAGCTTTTTTAAGACATGCTGCAAACATCCCAATGAACATTAACCAATGACGTTATGAGCTGAAATTTCACGGACACTTAAGAGTTATATTATATTTGGTAAAAACAGGTGCCATTTAAACCCAGTGCTTTTCTCATATTTTACATCACTTCACACTTGAAATAAGAAATATACACACTGAATAATCAAAACAAAATACATGCCAGCATTTTTTTTTTCTCATGTCGTCATTGTGGTATTTGTAATGTAAAAGTAAATTGTGGCAGAATTTATTTTATAGAAACTTTTTTTTTATTATTTTACCTCAATGTCTCCAGTTTACAGCTTACAGTCTTCAGTCCATCAGAGAGAAGCTTCACTCCTGAATCCAGCAGGCCATTGTTACTCAGGTCAGCTCTCTCAGGACACAATTTTTACTTTCCTTTTCCAAGCTCATGTTAACAAATTAGAGCTATCAGTTTTGGAATGCACACTATCGTTTGAGGTTACAGAAGCAACCCTTCGTTCCCTGAGGAGGGGAACGGAAGTGCTATACAGTGAATTTGATCTTGGAAAATCCACGTATGGGAGGATTTGGTTCAGAAGCCGCTTGTCTTAAAGAGTATTGAACGGGCCAATGAAGCAATGA